CCAAGTTCCCAATATCACTTCCAATGCCCTGAGAATCGAATGCACTCCAGCTAAGGATCCGAGGAATTGCTGAACAACACTGTGAATGTCTTTCCTAAGCGCTTTCCAAATCCTTAAACAACTTCCTACTACTTTCCAAGTTCACTAAAGTTACCTAGGTCCTTCCCAGAAATTGTTTAACCCATCATAACTTGCTAGACACCTTCCTGGGCTTTCTAAACACTTTGAAGACCCTTTGCTACTACTAGATCTCTCCACGCCCTCTCCAGTTCTCTATATATTTTTGCTTAGTCCTCATAAGCACCTAGTAAACCCTCAGAGAAGCCCAAAAGGCGCTCTGAGTAGAATTGAGACTTTCCGGAAGTTGAGCTTCTGCTAACACCCCTCGGTGACACGTTTGATGGAATATTAAGGAAATCTCGAGGGAAAACTGTAATGAGAGTGGTGAGATAGCCGATTTTGGGGGAGAATATAACACCGGGGGGCCTGGGGGTATGGAATACCCTCTAGCAACAAAAAAATTCGATGACCATTTCCACAGAATCACCATTATCAACATGAGGTCATTCGCATACTCTTATAAATACACTCTTCGTATGCTGGGGGGTATTCAATACCCCCCAGACCTCCCGCTGACACGTTTGATGGAATATTACGGATATCTCGAAGGAAAACTGTAATGAGAGTGGTGAGATAGCCGATTTTGGGGGAGAATATAACACCGGGGGGCCTGGGGTATGGAATACCCTCTAGCAACAAAAAAATTCGATGACCATTTCCACAGAATCACCATTATCAACATGAGGTCATTCGCATACTCTTATAAATACACTCTTCGTATGCTGGGGGGTATTCAATACCCCCCAGACCTCCCGCTGACACGTTCGATGGAATATTAAAGAACACTCGGGGGAAAACTGCAATAAAAGTGGTGAGATAGCCGATTTTGGGGGAGAATATAACACCGGGGGGCCTGGGGGTATGGAATACCCTCTAGCAACAAAAAAATTCGATGACCATTTCCACAGAATCACCATTATCAACATGAGGTCATTCGCATACTCTTATAAATACACTCTTCGTATGCTGGGGGGTATTCCATACCCCCCAGACCCCCCGGTGACATGTTCGATGCAATCCTAAAGAACACTCGGGGGAAAACTGCAATAAAAGTGGTGAGGTAGCCGATTTTAGGGGAGATTGCAACATTGAGGGACCTGGGGGTACGGAATACCCCCCAGAAACAAAAAAAATCGATGATTAATTCCCTAGAATCTCCATTATCAACATGAGATCATTGGCATACCCTTATAAATACACTCTTCGTATGCTGGGGGGTATTCCATACCCCCCAGACCCCCCGGTGACACGTTCGATGGAATCTTAAAGAACACTCGGGGGAAAACTGCAATAAAAGTGGTGAGGCAGCCGATTTGAGGGGAGATTGCAACATTGAGGGAACTGGGGGTACGGAATACCCCCCAGCAACCAAAAAAATCGATGATTAATTTCCTAGAATCGCCATTCTCAACATGAGATCATTCGCATATTCTTATGAATACACTCTTCGTATGCTGGGGGGTATTCCATACACCCCAGACCCACCGGTGACACGTTTGATGGAATATTAAGGAAATCTCGAGGGAAAACTGTAATGAGAGTGGTGAGGTAGCCGATTTTGGGGGAGAATATAACACCGGGGGGCTTGGGGGGATGGAATACTCTCTAGCAACAAAAAAATTCGATGAGCATTTCCACAGAATCACCATTATCAACATGAGGTCATTCGCATACTCTTATAAATACACTCTTCGTATGCTGGGGGGTATTCCATACCCCCAGACCCCCCGGTGACACGTTCGATGGAATCTTAAAGGACACTCGGGGGAAAACTGCAATAAAAGTGGTGAGGCAGCCGATTTGAGGGGAGATTGCAACATTGAGGGACCTGGGGGTACGGAATACCCCCCAGAAACAAAAAAAATCGATGATTAATTCCCTAGAATCTCCATTATCAACATGAGATCATTGGCATACCCTTATAAATACACTCTTCGTATGCTGGGGGGTATTCCATACCCCCCAGACCCACCGGTGACACGTTTGATGGAATATTAAGGAAATCTCGAGGGAAAACTGTAATGAGAGTGGTGAGGTGGCCGATTTTGGGGGAGAATATAACACCGGGGGGGGGGGGGGGGGGGTATGGAATACCCTCTAGCAACAAAAAAATTCGATGAGCATTTCCACAGAATCACCATTATCAACATGAGGTCATTCGCATACTCTTATAAATACACTCTTCGTATGCTGGGGGGTATTCCATACCCCCCAGACCCCCCGATGACACGTTCGATGGAATCCTAAAGAAAACTCAGGGGAAAACTGCAATAAAAGTGGCGAGGTAGCCGATTTTAGGGGACATTGCAACATTGAGGGACCTGGGAGTACGGAATACCCCCCAGAAACAAAAAAAAACGATGATTAATTGCCTAGAACATGAGATCATTCGCATATTCTTATAAATACATTCTTCGCATGCTGGGGGGTATTCCATACACCCCAGACCCACCGGTGACACGTTTGATGGAATATTAAGGAAATCTCGAGGGAAAACTGTAATGAGAGTGGTGAGGTGGCCGATTTTGGGGGAGAATATAACACCGGGGGGCTTGGGGGGATGGAATACTCTCTAGCAACAAAAAAATTCGATGAGCATTTCCACAGAATCACCGTTATCAACATGAGGTCATTCGCATACTCTTATAAATACACTCTTCGTATGCTGGGGGGTATTCCATACCCCCCAGAGACACGTTCGATGGAATCTTAAAGGACACTCGGGGGAAAACTGCAATAAAAGTGGTGAGGCAGCCGATTTGAGGGGAGATTGCAACATTGAGGGACCTGGGGGTACGGAATACCCCCCAGAAACAAAAAAAATCGATGATTAATTCCCTAGAATCGCCATTATCAACATGAGATCATTAGCATACGCTCTTTGTACGCTGTGGGGGTATTCCATACCCCGCAGACCCCCCGGTGACACGTTTGATGGAATCTCAAAGAGAACTCTGGGGAGAACTGTGCTGAGAGTGGTGAGCCAGCCGATTTTGGGGGAAAATGCAACACCGAGAGTCTGGGGGTATGGAATACTCTACGGAGAGGAAAAAAATCGATGGCAATTTTCCTAGAATCACCAATTATCAATAGGAGATATTCGTAAACTCTTATAAATACATTCTTCGATATGCCGGGGGGGGGGGTATTCCATCCCCCCCCAGAGACTCGTTCGAAGGAATCTTAAAGAAAAGTGGGGAAAATGTGATGAGAGTGGTGAGGTAGCAGATTTTGGGGGAGAATGCAACACCGGGGGGGCTGGGGGGTATGTAATACTCTCCAGCAACAAAAAAAATCGATGACCATTTCCCTAGAATCACCATTATCAACATGAGATCATTCGCATACTCTTAATTCGTATACTGGGGGGGGGGGGTATTCCATACCCCCCAGTCACACGTTCGATGGCATCTGAAGGAAAACTCGAGGGAAAACTGAAATAAGAGTGGTGAGGGAACAGGTTTTGGGGAAAAGTGCAACTCCAGGGAGCCTGGGGGTATTGAATATCCCCCAGCAAAGGCAAATTTTCCTACACCACAATTTTCCTACAATCATCATAGCAACCATGGGAACATTCGTATACTCTTTGCATATTGGGGGATATTCCATACCCCCCCAGGGGCACGTTGTATGGCATCTTGGAGAAGATTGCAACACCGAGGGGTCTGGGGGCATAGAATACCTCCCACTAAAGGAAAATTCAGTGACCATTTTCCTACAATCGTCGTTATCACTATTCGTATACCCACACAAAAATACTCTTCGAATATCGGGGGGTATTCCGGGCCTCTCAGAGACTCTTTCCGTAACATTTTACGGAAAACTGTAATGAGAGTGGCGAGGCAGCCGATTTTGGGGAAGAATTCTACACCGAGGGGTCTGGGGGCATAAAATAACCCTCCCTCGCATTTCTAGCATGCTTGCAGTTTTCCACGTTTTTCTCGAAAACCGTTCCCGCTACAACAAATTTGAAGAGAAGCTTTCCCGACGAGCATAAAATTTCCTCTTAGAAACAGTATGTCCATCTTCATTAAGTGCTTGTAATTTTCCACAGTTTTCCCGAAAACTGTGTCCGCTACACAAAATTTGAAGAAAACCTCTCCGAAAAATTAGTCTGAAAAAGCTTTTGTGCTTTTCATGCAGGAAACTTTTTGGACGTGCTTTCTGTCTCTATCTATATATTTCAATAGTTTTCCTAAAAAGTCGTCGTGAAAATTTGTCTTCGGCCAAAGGAAACTAGACAATCGCGACGATCCCCATTTTTTTTAAAGACTTAACCGGGATCTAATTCGGTTTATCCCTACGCTATGTGACGTGTAGATTTCGGTAATCAAAGTAAATTTATTCCAGAATAAGCTTTTACTGGACCACTAAAAATGATATTCTATTTTTAGGTAAGTTGAAGCATGCCCAACAGTATTAGAACACAATTAGATCTCAAACCGAGCTCTAATTCGCACTAACATAGCGAAGTAATGAAGTGGCAAACTAAATATCAAAGATTAAGACCCTCCCAACCCCATTTAGAGGAAAGATGGATCATGTTCAAAAACACAAAATGGCAAATTAAAAGTAATCGATCGCGAACCGAACTTGATATGGGATAACAATGCACAATTAGATCTCGAACCGAGCTCTAATCCGGTTCCCTCAACCGAGAATTAAAAAAATCAAACAAAAGTACTTACAAATTCAAAACGATGCATTGCGGACGTCTCAATGGCACGCACTAAACTGACTAGGACCAAATTTTTTCTTAAAATTTATCACGTCGCCCAAACTTTCCCCCTCGTTAATTTCGCGCATATTATCGCATTTTAATTGCGAGTTCCCAGATCGGCATTAATCACTCGCTAATTTACCATCATTAGGTCTTAATATTCAATTAGGTACCAACATTTATTCTTGATATTTAAGACACATGTAGATATTCAAAATTCTTTAAATATTTTACAATTGCTATATTCTATATTGCTTTTTTACCTTTTTAGTTTTGAGTTTTTTTGTAACAGTTTATAAAAGTTAAACAAACGTTATTGTCACGTTTGACTTCTAAGCGTCACCAGCTAAAGACTATATTGGAGACATTCAGGGGATGGGTGTTTTTTTTATACAATCTGTAAAGGGTGAGTATTAAAATATCACTTGAATCTTGTCCGTGGCCATTGCTGGGGAGGTTGGGTGCGTTCTCTTCTAGGGCTTGTTGGGTACCTCGCGCTTGTAGAAGAGCTTGCTTTCGGGGTGCCACCTGGGAGGGCCATCCTGTTGGTATTCCTCCTTTTCTATTTGGTTTTCCAGGAGCTGAAAGTGGAAGCGTGTCAGGATTCGGTCACCCCAATCTACGTACCTCATTCGATACGGATACCTTATATATTTTACTCACTTCTTTTAGTAGCTCTTTGAGTTTGTCCAGTCTGTCGCTATTTCCTCTCGTGGGCAAGTAGCGTCCTTCCGCGACGTTTCCGCTCATCAAAATCGCGAGGAGGGCGGCAAGCAATGCGAAAGCTAAGATCTTCTGTGCGGTCATCTAGAAAGAGTTGGAATTTTCTAAAATCCGCTGCTTTGCTACTTACAGTTTCACTACAAACACTACAATTCGGGTACAAAAATACTGAAGGAAATTCGTAAACTGACGCTACTTGAGTTTGGGGATGCCTTATATACCGCTAGGGCGCAGATTTCAGCAAAATTGCATTCACGTAGCTTAGGGGTGGTTCCGTCCTCCTCTGTAAATAAATCGGCGGCGGTCGAAGGGAGTGGCCTTAGTTAGCGTGGTCGCGGGTAACGAAACAATTTTTCTGCCAAAAACTATGTTTGATAGTGTGGGCGGATTTTAAACTTAGCTACCGCTATTGATTGAAAAGACAAGCGCGACTTTTATGGGGAAGTGAAAAGGAACTTTGTGGATTTGAAATTGCGATTACGAGATACGTCTGCTTTGCATTTTTCAAAATATCCATAATTCAGTTTAGAAGGCTCTAGTTTTCAATTCGCATCATAAAGCTTTTGTTTGATGGTGAGTTCGGCATAAATCTTGATGGTAGGACTTTTTGGAAGAAATTAAATTTTTAAGCACAAATATAACAAAAGACAGAGCAGAGCTGGGCAGTATTCGATTTTGTAAATACTTTTTAGTATTCAAATCCTTCAAAGTATTCAAATACTTTGTAATTAAATACTTTTATGGAAGCAGTATTTGTATTTGTAATCAAATACTTTCACAAATATTTAGTATTCGAATACTTCGCAAGGTATTTGAATACTTAACCTTTTTTTGGGCCTCAAAAAAAGGAAGTGTATAACCTTCATTTTTTACCAAAAATCGACTAAACCAAAATTTCTCGAGAAAACACTTTTTCTTAATAATTTTTGGGCGTAGAATCCAAAACAATTCGTACTTTTTCGATTAGACTTCTCAATCAAAAGTTATAGACTAGAAACCAATTTCGAAAGAAAATTCAAAGGGCTGTAACTTTTGAACTAGTAGCCCAATCTTGGAACTGTTTGAAATTATGGATTCTACAGGCCACATTCTATAAGAAAATTTTTTTCCGGGTCGATCTGAGACAATTTTTTTTTCGGGCCTCAAAAAAAAGGCAGTGTATAACCTTTCTTTTTTACCAAAAATCGACTAAACCAAAATTTCTCGGGAAAACACTTTTTCTTAATAATTTTTGGGCGTAGAATCCAAAACAATTCGTACTTTTTCGATTAGACTTCTCAATCAAAAGTTATAGACTAGAAACCAATTTCGAAAGAAAATTCAAAGGGCTGTAACTTTTGAACTAGTAGCCCAATCTTGGAACTGTTTGAAATTATGGATTCTACAGGCCACATTCTATAAGAAAATTTTTTTTCCGGGTCGATCTGAGACAATTTTTTTTCGAGCCTCAAAAAAAGGCAGTGTATAACCTTCCTTTTTTACCAAAAATCGACTACACCAAAATTTCTCGGGAAAACACTTTTTATTAATTTTGGTGCGTAGAATCCAAAGCAATTCGTACTTTTTCGATCAGACTTCTCAATCAAAAGTTATAGACTAGAAACCAATTTCGAAAGAAAATTCAAAGGGCTGTAACTTTTGAATTAGTAGCCCAATCTTGGAACTGTTTGAAATTATGGATTCTACAGGCCACATTCTATAAGAAAATTTTTTTTCCGGGTCGATCTGAGACAATTTTCTCTTCGGGGTTCAAAAAAAGGCAGTGT